AAATTCCTAACTTTTGACTTTATATTTGCATGTCATCATTATTACTGAAAATCTTAGTTTAATACCTTTAACATACTAATTACCTTATGCTGAAATATACATGAAATAGCTTTTAAATTACTAACAACGAAAGACATTGATGCTTGTGATTCAGCTTATTTGGTAATTAAATGGGAATAACATTTCTGAATCTATTATATAGTTTCAATAAAACTGTCCATTTCATTAGGTTTTCAGATTTATTTGCATAGTTATACAAAGTATTCTCTTAAATTATGTTCTTAAAACTTCCTTTATCTTAACAACTATTCCCCTTTGTCATTCCTTAGATTGCCTCAGTGTATATAGTAAGAGCCTACCAACCACTATGAATTATAAGTTATTTTGAGTAGGCAGTAGTTTCATTATATAGAAATGCTGAAGATTAAACAATAACAATAAATTAATAAATAATTTAATTATATTAAATTAAATATAATATTTAATAATATTAAAAAGGTCTATAACTATAAATGATTATAGAAAACCACTCATAGAATGAATCACTTATGCATATATAATCATAAGGAAACAATGTCTAAAAAATGGAATGAGGTCAACAATAAGGCAAGGGTATGACATATAATCAATTTTATAAAAATCTTATGAAGATAAGTCTTTTCTTGGATCACTCATGGAAACTTTCAAATCTTGGGTTGCATTTCCACTGACCCTAAACATATTCCTGAGCTCTAACCTCCTTTCTGCCTGTTACCACGTCCTAAATATCTGTGCATGCACGCACACTTTTCAGTTAGTCCTGGCTCTAGGACATAAATACTTTGTAATAGTTACCTTATTTGGAGAGAGAATACACAAGAAAAATAAAATAAATTCCAAGGTAAAATATAAAGTAAGCTTGAAGTAATCCCTGGTTTTGCATTATTTACATCATTGCTATGTACTTCATATATTACTGCATTTAAGCCTTGAAACACCTTAATTAAGTAGGTGTTATTACCCATTTTGAGATGGAGACACTGAGACTTAGAGGATAAGTACCTATGTGCCTGCCTTAACTATCCATGATGTCCCTATTTTCTGGATATTACCCACTCTGCTCAAAAATGTAGGCTTTAGCCAGCAGTCATTATTCTGCCTTGTAACCTAACCCTTATACCTTACCCCTCTCCCAGGTCCTACGTTACCACATGAGGGTGAACCCTGGGTGATAGCTGGTCCAATTTTTTTCCTTTGAATTGGAAATGGGATTCAGAGATGCTAATTAATCCTTGTATATGGCTGGAGTGATAACACTTAGTATGTATGTGGTACCCATTTTCTGGCTGGGGAACAGAGTATCAGAGTCCATACAGATAAGGAAGAATGAAGTAGACACAGGAAGAAATGCAGTGTCAAGAAAAAGAACACTTCAGTTCCTACTACTAGTCCCTTCTTGGAATCAGACTTCCTGCCTTCCCTGGGCTACTAGGAAATGACCCTATATTTTATTAGAAGTTCCCCTTTCTTTATCAAGCAAGTTCAAGTTGGTTTCTGATATATGTTACCAAAAAGAACCTGGACTATAGCTCCCCTTTCTTACATGATAAATAGCAGATTTCAGTAGAAATTTTTGTGGTAATTTTAGAGTTAAAAGATCACAATACTCCAGTAGGAGATGTAGAGATTATTTCCATGTCTCCCTTTATTTAAATCAAACTCATAGAAATAAAATGACATTCCAAAGATCCTTTAGCTAGCTAGAGGCAAAGGTAGAACTTTTTTTCCTTACTGTTTATTACTCATTTATGATGACTAGTTATGTGGCTGGAGATTTAATATATACATGTACCATTAGACAAATATTGGTATTTTGAAAAGAGGCACAATCCCATCCTCTCCCTAATAAAATTATCTTCCTGTTTTTTTCTTTTATAATACTATATCCTCTTGTATCAGAAATTCTCAGTTTTTCTTTTAGTAGAGATAAGGTCTCATTCTTGCTCAGGCTTGTCTCCAATTTCTTCTTCTTCCTTTTTTTTTTGAGAGAGGGTCTTACTATGTCACCCTCGGTAGAGTGCTATGGCATCATAGTTCACAGCAACCTCAAACTCTTGGGCTCAAGCAATTCTCTTGCCTTAGCCTCCTAAGTAGCTGGGACTATAGGTGCTCACTACAATGACTGGATTTTTTTTTAGAGACAGCATCTCGCTTTTGCTCAGGCTGGTCTTGAACTCATGAGCTCAAGCAATCTACCCACATCAGCCTCCTAGAGTGCTAAGATTACAACCTTGAGCCACCATGCCTGGCAAATTCTCAGTGTTATAAAGAGGATTCTAATTCAAAGGATGGTGGTTTGGAACATGGAACATGTTTTCTCACAATACAGTGTCAAAGATGGTGTTCCATGTTGACCCATGCAAAATCTCCTTAACCCACAGTACAACAACTCTGAGGGAATTCTGAGGGGCAGACAGACATACTATGTAGTGTGTTTCAAAAGATAAAGTGCCAAGAAGTGGCATTTTAAGAAGTAGCTGGGTAATCTTAGACAAATCACTTAATCTCTCTCAGCTTAGTTACTTTCTCTTAAAAACAATGGTGATTATTAAGATTCATGGAACTTCTGATTTGACAAGAACCTTAAAGGTCCACTTCTAATTTCTAAGAGATTATTATCATGAAAATGTTGAACACGCTGCAAAAATTATTGTAATAAATACCTATAATCCCATCACCTAGATCTAATGATTACCATATTTGCTTTATCTGGCTTTTAAAAAACCATTTGAAAATGAGTTGAAACAATCAGAACACTTGATTCCTAAATATTTCAACATGCAGCTCCTAAGACTAAGGACATACATATTCCTACATAAAACGTGTTGGTAAAGTCTTTCAGTAAAGGTAGAGATAGTAAATATTTTAGGTTGTATAATTCCAACTACTCAACCCTGTATTTATTTGTCTGGGGAAACAGGCATAAACAATATGTAAACAAATGAGCATGGTTATGTTCCAATAAAATATGTACAAAAATAGGCAATTAGCCCATAGGCTATAGGTTGCTGACCCCTGCTATATAGTAACAATGTTACTATCACAACTAAAGTTAATAAAAATTCCCTAATAATCAACCCATGTTCAATTTTTTACAATAGTCCCCAAATCTACATTCTAGTTGCTTTTTTCAAAACCAGGATTCAGTCAAGAGTCACATCCTGCATCAAAGATTCCATTTGGGAGCCTAATAACTCTATTCTTTTGTTTACTTCCCTAACAGCTAAGCTCCCAAATCCCTAGGACACCATAGTATAATGGTGACAGCATGAGAGATAATATCTGGTAACTTTGAAAAGAAGACTATGCATTAATGGATTACATTATTTATTTGTTTACTTTTCATTTTTAAAATCCCAAACATCAATTTAAACCAGCTAATTCACTGCATTTAAATCTTAACCTAAAAGAGGTGCAGAATCACTGCACTCTGCTGAAATTTATGCTTATATGGACAGACTAGTAATATCTACCAACTGTATGTCCATATATATATATCTCCTCTATATACTATCACTATATGAAGTCAACTGTACATCAATAGTAACATTAGCTTAATTAAAAACCAAGAAACTCATTTTAAAGAATCTAGAATTATACTTATTCAAAGAAGGGACCTAGTACTTACCTAGAAATAGAACAATCAATAGGATTATAATGGTAAGGAAAGCCTTGTTCCAAAAAGTTGCAATTTTGCTCCAGAAACTAAATGAAAAAATCTTCTGCCATCTGTAAAGAAATACAATAAACTAATATAACTAATTGCATTAGTTATAAAAAACCAGAAGAAGATTTTGGCAATTGTGTAGTGAGTAAAATAAATTACAGAA